AGACGTATATATATATATGTGAGTAATATATATATATATAAAAGGGGGAGCCCTTTGATATCCATAACGTAATAACGTTTGTTTGTAATTAAGCACAAAGCTACTCAATGGGATATCTGTGATCTGTCCACCACGGGTATCTAAACCCAGATTATAGCGTTGTAAGTCCGCAGACATAACGCTGTGCCACTGGGGGGCCCATAACGTAATAAATAAAATTAAAAAAACACTTCAACATAGGTTAACCTGAAACGATCCAAAATAGAAATATACACATAGAATCAATATTACATATTAAAACTCAAATGCAAGCAAAATAAGACTTTTAAAATTCACGGTAGTATGCTTTAAAACACGTTCAAATAACCTCTCAGCAAAAAAGTACAAAGTAAAATTCTATAAATAAATACAGAAAAAAGCAAATTTGAAAAGAAATCCAAATCTTTCATATTGGACACAGCAAAATAGATACACGTATATATACAAACGTTGCACTTAAATTCATATACAAAATATGCATCACTTCAGGAATAAAACCCATCATCAAATTAAGGCACACTTCATCGTTTCTTCCATCACGTGAGTACAAAAAAGTACTAATAGTGATTCCATCATCTCACAATCTGTAGCTCTTTATTCTACTCTACTCTTTACTTTCTTGCACAATGTGCAGCATTATATTCATACCAGCTATTGACAGAATAGGTATTATTTCCATAGAATAACAAAGGAACAAAAGCAGCTAGAAATCAAATTAATGAATATATTTCCCACTTGTTATGTGAAAACTGCATATACACAGAATAACTGTACAATTCCGAAAAAAAAAGTATATTAAAATACAGAGATAGTTATTGTTTCAAATTAAGCACAAAGCTACACAAAGGGCTATATATGCTCTGTCCACCACGGGTATCGAAACCCGGTTTCTGGTAGTATAAGTCCGCAGACATACTACTGTGTTACAGAGGGGAGGCTACAGAGATAGAAAACGCGTGGTATGCTTATATCCCACATTGCCTTTACTTTGACTTCTCAACAATAGTATATTTTGAGAATAAGAAAAGCCTTTATTTCATTTTAAATGTTTTGAATAATTCATGATATAAAATACTAATAGCCATGGGTGTCCGCAGGATATATTACAGAGGAGGTCAAGATAACTAAATGATATTAAAGCTATAACTAGGGCAAATACCCTCTTGCAGACGCCCATGCTAACAGCTCAACTAGTGCAGCCCAGAGCTATTTTTACGTCGATTTATTCTCCTTATTTAGGACCCCCCCCCCCCCCCAGTGGCACAGCGGTATGTTTGCGGACTTACAATGCTAAAATCCGGGTTTCGATATCCGTGGTGAGCAGAGCACAAATAGCCCATTGTGTAGCTTTGTGCTTAATTTCAAACAAACAAACAGAAAACTTTATTTCGGTCTTGGCATTGCCTTGAGGTCAGAGCCATAGACTCGTAAACTGCGTTGCCAAACATGTTTGCCCATTCAGCGTGGCGGCTTTATAACGTAACGATCAATCGCTGTATTCGGTGGTAAAGAGTAGCCCAAAAGTTGGAGGTGGGTGGTGTTGACCAGTTGTCCAGAAATTCTCCCATCAACTGTTTATGCTGGACCTCCCTTTAAAAATATTTCAGGCTGTGACGACCCACACACATACATACACACAGAATGATAACAAATTACTGTACATGCTCTAAAATATCCGTTATCGCAATATTTTTATGATCTTCAGTTTGAGTAACAGCTGCTCTGGTCAATCACTTCAAAATTTTAAACAGCAGATAGCCCTCAAGTAGTTTTACACGACACTAAACAGACAAACAATCTTCTTATTTCTTAAACCCTTGAAACCACAAACAGGTGTTTCCAGAGATCGGTACTCGGCTCCGTTACTATGGCATTCCCTTTTCCGAACTCTACAGGACTTATATGCATCATAATAAGCATGAATTCAAGGTACACTCAACCAAGTCATAGCGTAATGCAACCGGTGAAAAGTCACAATTAACTCTGACAAACCACAAGTCTTTTACAGACGTATGCGCAAGAAAAAGAAACAACTCCCCAAAGTCAAGCTTAAAATCCACGATACAGATATCACTTTTACCAGTACAATCAAATTC